GTTACGAGACAATACCATAAGTGTAAAAGCTAGCGTCCTGCAGAGTGGGTACAGCCATTAATAATTCTAATGTTTAACAATCCAAGTAAAAGCCTCTTCACAATGGTAATCCGACAGAAGGCCGCGCCGTTCCTCGCATTTTCTAAGACGGACAAGAGCCATATCGTAGATATATTTTTAGAATCCATTGCCCGAATAAAAACAATTCGACCTATTTACTTCCTAAAAAAATAAAGATTAAGACATTTTTATTTCTTCTTCTAAAAAATATTTTCAAGATAGACTTACAAATTCTTAAAAAATTATTTGTGTCGTAATGTATATCCAATTTTAAAAGTGCAATATTAATTGTCATTAATTAATTTTGCAAAAATGTAGTTTTTTAAATTTTAATTAATTTTTACTGCAAAAATAAAAGGAAACGATTGAAAGGAGATTAGCAGTTAATATATAATATTTTATGATATGTGAGAGAAAAAACAATAGGTAATCTCTGCCACAATTAGCTCATACATGCAGCGGCCATCTCTGCAACTGGCACCTTTTTTCAAATTTTTACACAACGCAAATAATATGCAATTCCCGAATATTTTGACGTAACTTAAAATCCAGTATATATATTCTTCCAATTATTACAAAATACAGTTTTTTTATTAAAGTAAGCAAACATGAATAGAACGACTATCGAAGAATGGTTACAAATGGTTATATTTCGAAACAATAAAATACATACGTCTTATTATAATTATATGTGAGTAAAAAAAATTCTCAAGTACCGACTATTCAAGGCGAATTGAACTAATAACAATATATATTTATTATAATTTTTTATTCATTTATTTGTTAAATATTACGGACTGTTCGCACAAATATCAGACGTTAAAATTTTTTAAAATTGATGAAAGAATCTCCTTTTTTACGGCAATTTCGTGATAAACTTCATTCCATGGACCATACGTAAAATCAATAATTTCTTGAGCACGATTTAGATATCGCCGTGTTTTTTTCAACGTATTTCTGAAACAAAATATATAATGCTTTGTAATAAACAAATGATCGTAATTATAGTTTAGAATAATCTAAATTTAAAAAATTCGATATCTACTTATAAAATTTTGATGATGTATTAGTTTCTTCCTGCAAATATTCCAGGCATATATCTGTTAATTTATTTATTTCATTACAAACTTCAATGCTCCAAGAGCCATATTTTTCTTCAATCGCTACGATATTATGTTCGAGATATGAGATCGAATTTAGCCATTGTCCTAAAATCAGAAAATAAAAATAATGTTACATATTTAGAGTAGTGATAAATGACTCTATATAGAAGCAGTCAAATTGACAGATTCTCGATTTGATCTGGACTGTCACTCCATGATGTATGTTTGCTGATACAAACCTATAATAGCATACACTTTTGCTATGAAATCCATGGTGTCGGCAATGTCGTCATGATATTTATATAATGCATCTTTTCTAAGACGCAAACATTTTTTCAATTTATCTAATGCTTCGTCATAATTTTCATTTTCTATGCAAATTTCTGCTTTCTCAAAATAATGTTGGGCCTGTCTCAACGTAAAATCATAAATATTTTCGTAGACTGCCACTCCACAATCCATACAGTGCATAGAAGATCTATATAGTACGGAGCAATTATCATTCAATGGCCCACTACAATCAGGACACTTCTTTGCAGTAAATTTTTTCTATAAAAAAAAAAACATTTATATACATAATGATGTACAGTACAGTTAAATATCTAAAAATGATTAATGATTTACCAAAATATCTTCATATTCTGGTGCACTGCACGCTGCACAATTGCATTTGAAGCAGTATTGACTTTCCATTTTTTCTTGTCTGTCTTTTCTCAACATTCTTCTAAAGTCAGCCCCTATTGCACAACATCAAATGTGAAATCAAAACCAAATATTAATAAAATAATTTATTAACTTGTTATTAATTTAACATACCGTAACAATTAAAAACTTCTTCACCCGCTGCAATATCTTGTGTGGCTTTGGTTATTAAAAATTGCCCTAAAAAGCTAAACACGCAATAATATGTTATTTAAATAAATATATATATATTTCTTACAAATATTTATGTAAGCAATGAGCAATTATCTCATTTCTCGTAATCAAATATCTATATATTACCTATTAATTATATTAGGATCACAAGAATGATTCATCATACTTGCTGAAGGATAAATTGCTGTAGCTATTCTATCTTCTTGTTGAGTAAAGACTTTATTTTTATTGTAGCATGTATTATTTACTACAGCCTTTATTTTTGTAATAGCATGTCCATTAGAAATAAGTTGTAATATGTATCTCAATAATAGAGAACTTACATACAATCGTTCATCATCCTCTGTTGTGAGGTCACAATTAAAATCATCATAGAACTTTAAACATTCTTTAAGATTGACAGTTTTAAAAAAATCTGTATACTTTGATAAATACATCATAAGCATAATTGCTGTCTGAAAAGAAGAAATAATAATATAATAAAAATTAGTTTTATGAAGGAATTCTACATGCATACGTTGTATATTTCATTTTTGCAAAAATTATGTCACTTACGATTCCATACGAAATAATATCGCCTGGTGGAAGTTTGGAAAAATTTGTCACTAACTTTTGTACTTCATTAAGTCTGTTATCATCAGTTGCAGTTGTACAATTAAATAACATTCTTACAGCCAGATACGCTATTCCAATTTCTGCCCAAAGGCCCATTTGATTGCCGAGACATTCCCAACAATGGTAAGACGAGCGTGCTTCATTCCAACAAGTAATATTGCAATATATACTGTCGACACACTCTGTACATCTATATAATTTAACACATTATATATGTATATATATATGTATTTTAAATTATTTAATTCAAAAAACAAGAAATATAAAACTCACGGTACAGGAGTATTACCAGACGAGCGACAACAATTGTAACAATTATCAGATTTAATGTGACATAATGGGACAAAAGCAAATGCTTTTTCAACGAATAGAATCTGACCTCTTTTGATATCTCTATTGGTTACGACGTATCTTCCTTTTTCTGGAGTGCATTTTATTTCTACGGCTGCCGATGCAAACC